TGTGAACGAACCATCGTCATTTGTGTTGCGTCTGGTAGCGCTCTCGTTTGTCTAATATTTATAGGAGTTGCCTCGATAAAATGTGCTTGTAAATGGATGTTGTTTTTTAATGTTTATGGTTGGCTTTTTATTTTGAAATACAGATATTTTAGTGGATGATGAGACGGGTCATTTTTTAACAATTGTACAGGATATATTATCAGTGAGTGAGATAACCAAAGTGTCCTCATTAACTCAATCGAAAAAGAACCTATTTATTTCGGGATTATAAATAGTAATGGGCATCTATCTGCTCTCATCAAAATAACCAACAAAAATTTGCTATAGGTACCTATATCAACTTTTCCAATACCTACACTCGCCCTTTTTAGAGAAAAATTAGGGTTCCTATAAAAGATTATTCCCGTGCTTACATTTTCCAATAACATCAATCGCTTTCCTATTACGAAGCGATACAAATAACATGAAATTAGGGCTGCCATTATCGTGTTCCTATTTATACTGGAGAATCGATATTATGCCCACCCTTATACGTAATTACGCGGTCGTGATGCCGGCAAAAGGTGAATCGTTAATAATTGATGAAAAATACACCTACGTATCAGTTAAAACATGGAATTTTCTAGAATAAAGGAGCGAAGCGAAAGAGCAAGGTCGTTGTCGAATAATTTAAAAGTGTTTCTACCCCCTGAATTACATACCTTCACGCTTGTTTGTTCGCGAAGGGTAACAGAACCCAATATCGGTCTGAGGGTGAACCTTTTGCTATGCACGGGTGTGAACACTGAGTTACCTTTGGGAATTTTAAAATGGATAATCCGTATCCCAATAGTCCCCATTTACAAGAATTAGAGTCCAGTCATCGTGGCTAGACAAATTTCTGCTAAAGCAATTGTTTATTACATGGAACCTGATTTCAACACTAGTTTCGTTAGGTGCTGAAATTAGATGTTTATCAACTAAGAACAAAAGAGTAAACAAATAACAAACTACGATCATCCGTAGTTCCAAGAAATTTTCATTGCGATGACGTATCTAACCGATTCACCGAGTTTCCTCGGCATTTTCCCGATGCCCGTTAAAAACATGATCCAGTTTCTTAGTCTATACGTAATACATCATGATATATGCAATTATTCACTGTATGTTTCGTAATAACACTTTGTTCTATCATCGTTCGGCTAAGAGCATCGACAGACGGCGAGTGTGGTATAAATAGCTTCGAACAGAGGCGGGTTATCGCGAGAAAATACTTACTCACACTTTTGAACCCCTACTAAGACTTATAGACGCATGATTATACTTATATTTCTGAGCAAATTTTTTTCTTCTGTTACCTAAGCTTCAGTACTTATTTGTTTGATGTGATATTGTACAGAAGATTTCTGTATACTTGATAATTCAAGATCCTATTTGGTTTAAACCATTTTAATATTCTCTTAAAATACAGCATCGTGTTACTACAGCATGCCAGTAAAATTCTTTCCGTTGCAGTCGTCACGAATGAACACATTCTACGCGCGACTATAGACCACTCCATCACGACGTGCATAACATCTAAGACCTAGCTACACACAGAAAATATTTAATAACAAAAACGGATGTTTAATGTTCTAATTCCTACATTCGTGTTCCTGTAGTAACAACTCCTGGGTAGTGATTCATCTGCGTCCCAACTCCTTCGATTGTCGACTTATTACTCATTGTAGGGGCAATGTTTAGTCTTGCGGTTGCCATTTGCTATTACGATAACACTCAAGTATTGGTCGAGCTGAAGCTTATAACATCTTTTGTTCTCACGAAACATTAAATTCTGTTATTATAAAACTTTATAGCTTTCTTTCATGTAATTTTGGCGGATAGATATGTTCCTTTTTGTTTTTAGAAGACGCAAGAAAATGTTTTATGCCTTTCAATCCAGTTGCATGCCTCGTATTAACTTTTTGGTTTTTCAAGGCTAAATGCTTTTAGTTTATTCGCATTTTTATAGTAATCGTACGTTAAAACATGGCTTCCAATACTGATCAGAGAATAAAAGGAAAATAGATTGTGTAAGCCGCTTATCTTCCCGCACACGGCTTTAGAAATAACCCGAGGGAATAAGGTCAGTCTGGTGAAAGCGTTTCACACTGTAAGCAGAGATATAAACAGACCTTCCCACCTGAAAAAGGATAATGGATTTTTCGGAAAAATAACGCTTTATTATAGGATTTTTCGCTCTGGCAACTTTTTAAAAAGAAACGTCGTATTTAAAGATGGCGGCGTATTCTTTCTAATGTTATGACAACATAAAACCACCGAAATCAAATAAACATATCAACATACTCGTTTGAACGTTCAATTATACATAAAAGAGTGTGAGGTCGTGACTCGATCTTCAAAAAAATGTCGGCGTCAACGACATTCTTGAGTAAATTAAAAGCGCTGTTCACTTTATGTACAAATTATCAATAATCAACAGTTTCTCGTGTGATTGAAACACAAGTCCCTTGAATGAATGTTGGAAAGTAGCAGTGTCAATATTGATCTCGCCGGTTACTGGCCGACCGGACACCGTAATTACGAATGTAGGCACCATGCTGGACTCACTGTGTGACGGACAAATGTACAGTAAACATTTATTCATATTACCGAGCATGTAAACATGAGGTTTCTTTCGGCGGTGTTAGATACGTTTTGTTGTCATTAAACAATGTTACTTGTTTGCTTTAAGAGATATCTCAGTTAGTAAGTTGTAGTGTTTGGATTATGACTGCTTAATTACCTGTCTATGAGCTATGAACTTTTATAGTTCACTTTAGGAGTAACTTTTCAAAGTCCTTTCAACCCGATCGAGGCATTTTTTTTAATGGGGTAAAATCATCGAATGACTGCTCCCGCCTGGGTGAGGCGGGAGGGAGTGTCGGACTCTTACTGACTAAAAACCACCCCGTTTCTTCTCCTGCACGTCGAGCCGGAGCCCCGGTTACCCGTTAGGTTCTCCGCGAGTCACTGTAGGTGAAGGAGTCCGCAGGCATCACGGCATATGGACTATCATTTGTGTGTTTGTGTACCCAGTCTAGGTGCAAATAACAAGATACTCAGACACAGCCATATACTTTCACATTTACCAGGTTTCAATAAACGATTTCCTAAGTCCGAAGTGCCTATTCAACAAGAAACAAACAGATTCACGTCGAGTCGTCCATTTTGTCTTTTAGTCGGCGTTCAATTATCTCAAAGAACATTCGGTTGTTCAAACATGATGGAATTGAAACCACAAGTAAACTTTCTTCAACCAATGTGGGTTTACAGTCTAGGTACTTTGTTGAAAGCTTTTGCCTATTCTGACAACTTGAACAGAATTGTGGTCGATTCTAAATTACGTACAAATGTTGTCAACTAGTTTTTGTTTTCAATAAATAAGGCTGCGGTATTTTCGTTTATGTAGTTCTTTGTTTTGATTTTGTAATATTTTAGGGTAGGTACCTGTATCACTTAAAATTGATTTGTCCGAAGGGAATTTTAAGTAAAGCATATAAAATGATTGATCATAAGATATTTGAAAACGACTGAAGCCGGATTTGAGCGGTTGATGATATAAAGACAAGATTTTCATGAAAGATTGAACAAATCGTCAACGTTGCTCTTGCAACCATAAAACTCCGCCATATGTATTTCTCATAATTTAATGGACATTTAGGGCATCATTGCATTACGCAAATCGATTCCCAAATTTAGTATCGATACCCAAAAAAACCGAATGCTTTCTTTCAAAAACTGCGTAATATCTGCGATAATTTTTGTCCGGCAAACAGTTGCTCGTGCACTTCGTGTCGAGTCCACTTTCAAGTGTCACCGCCATGTTTGGACAAGCGGGTTGTGGTCCCGTTCTGATGCAACTGCCAACTGCGCCGGCGCCGGACGCGGCTATTAAGGTCGGGACACATGAAGTACAAAATTGTGACGTGACAACTCAAAGGGTGACTACGAAACTGTTTTGTAAGCACGTGCCATATGAGTTTGGGGATTATTTGTACTTTGTGCTTGTTAAAAAGTACGAAGAATCTTGTCGCTATTAATTAAACAACAAATTAGCAAATAAGACACTGCAATAATCGAAAGCAGGCTGAAGAAATGCGTTAGGCAGAAATGGTGGGACGAGATTTTTTAGACATCCGAATGAAATATGAATGTTCGTGATTAATTTAAAACAACAATAGATCTAGACCTAGCCCTATCGTATATCTATTCATGAGTATTATAGTACCCAGTGTTCGCTTCGAGGTCCATTGCGGTTGCAAACAAGTACCTACCTTAGATTACAAGCTCATTGTACCCCAGCCTTTAATCCCCGTCTACGAAGCGAAGTGTTTGTGGAATTTTAATTAAATTTTACACTTTATTTTACTTAGTTATTTCCTTATTTGTTGCCCTTTTAAGTTGAGAGTAATGTGTGGAACAAATTGCTAAGGTATCGCTGTGAACTTTGATCTTTAATTTTCAATTATAAATTGAAACCTAACAATTAACACAATGGACACAAATTCTCGTTTTCTCGGCTATAAACCAGTATTGTACCGTTAGGTAGGGACCTACACATTATTTATTTTCACAACTTAATTGTAAATGGCTTATGTGCCATATTAAAATTGTGTACATTAAAGATTAAATAAATAAATAAATAAATAAAGGGAAAATGACTGGCTGATTGATTGTGAGAGAAATTGTTCTGAACGTAAAGGAAGTTGTGATATGATGATGCCTGACAGGCTGACTGAGGAGAATGGTAAAAGACAGACAGCGATTCAAAGTAATTTTGAAATAATGAAAATTTTGAAATAATGAAATAATATTTAAGAAACACGTTATTATGCTTACAATTCTGACTTATGCTTTAACCGCGCAGGGCAGAATTTGATGATTTTCGCCCCAAAAGAAATATACTATCTACATAAGCCAACAAGGACGTCATTACCAATTTTTAACTCTTTAACATGCTAAAGTAATAAAGTACTTACCATCAAACTTGATAGCTCTGTTAGTGAGTGTGTCAGCTAACTTGCTGAGCTCGCTCCACAGCGCGGACTCGAGCTGCGTGCGCGCAGCCTGCGTGAGTCGCGTCCGTGCGCCCGCACCGCAACACCCGCGATTTGTGCATAGCTGATCTGCATCTGTTAACAAGAGAAAAGATAAACTTAGTAAAACATATTTTTGTAAATGTCGATGAATCATCAGTTCACTCATTTGGGAGCTACGATGACACAGATAGACAAACAGATATTGGCGTCAAACTCACAATTCCACTCATTTTGTCTTAAGGGTTTTTGTATTGTTTCCAAAGCAAATAGTTCTTAATGATTTAATCTTTCTACTTATAGGTAGGCTTTTACTTTTCAGTAAGTATTTTCGTATATTCTATACTATTCGTAATTACTATAATCAGTGTATCAGTGTATATGACAAACAGAAGTCCGGAACCTTTCCATTCTTACAATCAAATCACCGACAGCTTTACCCAATCATAATTACCGAATGTGTGTCCATTGTATTTTTAAACGGTGGGAGAACCATGCTTCAGCACGAATGGGCCGGCCCGACCGGAGTGATACCACTGCCTCAGAGAAAACCGACGTGAAACACCGCTTGCGTGTTTCGTGTGAGTGTAGTTACCGGAGGCCCAATTACACCCTCTCCCCCACCCCAATTTCCCCAATCCCCGAATCGTCAAATTCCTCATCTCCAAAAGGCTGGTACCGCACTTGTGATGCCTCTGCTGTTTCAAGCGTCCATGGGCGACGCCGATTGCTTACCATCAGCATCAGGTGATCCGTTTGTTCGTTTACCGGCTTATCCCATAATAAACAGGTATAACTAATTCTATCTTTAGTTGCTCTAAACGTTACATTTTATATCAAGGTCTTAGTCTAACTCATTGCCTGCCTACTTTGAAACCTTTTTAGACTGACATTCAATTAGTTTCAAGTTTAATAGCTAACCGAGGTTGTAATTTACTGACCCATTTGTGCGTGGTCGCGTGGGATGAACAGGTGTTTGGCTTTCTCGCATTCTCAACTTTATAAAGGACAGCACATTAAGGTCTAATTCCCACAATAGATTTTATATTTTATTGTTTTGTAGTAAAGTCGAAAATATTATTAAAACAGGAATTATACCTCTATAATTCATAACCAATTTTTTTTTAGTTTTTTTAGCTATGCTCTTAATGTGTGTTGTGTTTCGTCGTGTGAGTGAGGTTACCGGAGGCCCAATTACCCTCCCCCCCTTTCGCCAATCCCTGAATCCCCAATAATCCTCAAATTCCTAATCCAGAAGGCCGGTAACGTACTTGTAACGCCTCTGGTGTTCCAGGTGTCCATGGCGACGCCGATTGCTTACCATCAAATATCCCATAAAAAAAATGTTGTAAGTGCTGAACTAAGTTCCTATAACAATAATTTTCGTCTCGTCTAGCAAGTGCCAATGACATCCCGCAGTTTCGATCAGGAAAAGTTAATAATTGTCAACTAGACGGTTGTATAGGGTGCTTCCAATGAGGGTCGAAGTGAGGGGTGCAAATAAATTTAAACATCCGAGTACCGACGTTATTGCATTACTGGGCCGACGAGGGTGCCAGTCCTGTTTTCTTTGATTCTTACAAAAATCAATATATTTTGAGAAACACTCACGCAAGGATTAACGAACTGAAATAGCTTTTTTGCTATCATTATGTTTACTCAACTGAGCGGGGATTCTGGAATAATTTAAATGTTGTTTATTATACAAACATTTTTGGTTAACGGAAAATCTTTTCCATTTCTGCGATTACACCAAAACTCCTTTTTAAATCTGTACCAAGAAAATAAACTTTTCTCATCACTCTCAATTGTAATTAACCCAAAGAAGCAATTAACGGATTCATCCTCCTTAGAAAACGGTTTTAAAATTCCACTCAGACACGTTTGACACCAAAGTACTACATCCATTACTGAATTAGTCCCACCTTTATTAGACCTTCTTCAAACCGAAGAAGCGATGAATGCAAGGCAAGGCGTTCTATCGCGGGCCAGAAATGAGGAAAATGGTTTACAGACAACCTGTTACTTCACTTCAGTACAGGGGGCTTACTCTTGAATACAATTCGGATTGATCGACATTGGTATTGTGAAATCTCGTACTCTCCAGTAGCAACACTAGCGCTCATTGCATCCGTATTGCGTGGATATTGATTGAACTAAATGGTATTGAGTTTGGCTTTATATTCTGTACTCTGAATGATATTTTAACGGCAACGATAGTGGTTGTATAGTTTCGACATTGAATAATTATTGAGTTTTTATTGGATTGAAATTGCATTGACATTAAGATTGGTTTCAAAAGTAAGCACCCTGATCGTCCAAGACGGATTTTGTGTGAAATTTTATCACCTCGTAAAGAGAATTGGTGTGGAAATTGAAGTATTTTCACAAGTAACCTTTACCCCCATTTAGCCAGCATTTTATGGTCCCCACTGACTTTGTTTGGCGTGTTGTAATGTTGTGCTGTTTCGAAAATAAATGTCTTAGTTTTGCAAGGCTTCAAGTGCAGGCTGAACTTTATTGTCACGATTAGAATGGCTAATTTGTGATGGGTGTCATTTTGCGGTTCATTTTGGAGTAGTTATAAATTATAAAGCTGATGTTGTTTTGTTTTTTATTTCAGTGAGTAGTGTTACAAGTCCATTGATATCATATTTTATTAAATACCCCACCAGTTTGAACTTACATATGAGACATCGCAGCGTAGACATACAACCTGGTAAAAAAAGGTTGATCTCATTATGTCTACTTTTTTAAATTAAATCAATCGAATAAGAACTGCTTCATTTTAAACCTAATTTTTATTATGACTAGATGTAATTTTCAATACAATCACGTGACGTTTATGAAAGACTCAATAAACACAATGCCTATTGAATAACTAAATCAATGTTAATACCTCATTCCGATCGTGCTTACCTCAGCTGAGACGGGATAAGCCCAAATTACTGATTTACATAGCTTCAAAGACAATGCAATATAAACCTTGTTGTCAGGTGTTAAGATTGGATTCTGAATACTTGATAAGAGAATAGTGTTTTGAGGGGTGTGGTTTAAATTGTTGAAGATAGCGGGAATCTGATCGTAGACAACGATTTCGATGAAGGAAAGGTTATGAATGATACAGAAAAAAATTAATGAAATGAAAACAAAGGAATTGCAGAAGCCAATGTAATATTACAAAAAAGATTAGATGTCAACGAACGAAACCAAAAAAAAAAAATATTCAAAGCTCAAAACAATTTAAAACTTAGATTTAGACTGCACTGACTAAGAAATTCCGCGAAGAGAAGATGTGGGAAGATCGGAACTGTGATTAATTCTATCATTAAACATTACGGCCGATCATAAACGTTACGAAATATACAACGAACTAAATCCCAGCCTAGTTTCAAGGACAGATTGAACTAGATTCCAATAAATATTTTGTATTTACATATAAACATGATCTACTAATACAATTTAATCTTGTAGTTTATGATAAAAGACAACCAACTCGTAAATAGTTCGGCATAGGATTTGTAATAACGCTAGCACATAATGTTATTATTTGTTGTGTTAGAAGAGTCAAGATAATAGCTGTAGATTTGTCTTTTTTTTTAAGAGGGGAAAATCATCGAATGACTGCTCCCGCCTGGGTAAGGCGGAAGGGCGTGTCAGACTCTTACTGACTAAAAACCATCCCGTTCCTTCTCCTGCACGTCGAGCCGGAGCCCCGGTTACCCGTTAGGTTAGGTTAATCTACAGTCGCGGAGCGACTGTAGATTTGTCTACGGCGACGCTTGGGCCACATTTCTTAAGTGATGGACACACTTGGGACAATAATTATAACTGTATGCCGCTGACTCGTATACTTTGGACCACAAAATAAGATGAACAGCCCCCTAACTAAGGGGGCGACATGTCTATCGACGATAATGTGAGTCACCACAACTCTGAAGCTAATGTTTACTGTGATCACCACGGAAATATAAGTTTTTTAGTTAGGGACGCCATTGTGGTCGTATGAATTAGATGCAGTAGATTTGGGAACGTTCCAAGATCCTTTATTGCTTTTTATTTGTTATTCATTTATTCAATTTCGTTCTTTTTTAAAGAGGTTTATGTGCTTCTGTGTAAATATTTTCGATTACGAATATTGCTATTCCTAATGTCTTTATTCTAATTTTCGAACGGTTTTTGCGTTCTTTTTCTAAATCGCCATTTTCAAGGTCGAATTGTCAAATGTTCACTTTAACCTAAATTCTTTCAATTAATACCGTCTGCTGTATCTTAATTGTATTTATCGTTAGTTGTAAATATCTGATTACTAATTAGACATAACTATTCATCTCTTACGACACAAACAGATGCATTAGCAGACATTCTAATTTCAAGAACTATTTTGATTTCGAAACTATCATAGGATATCCAAATTGAATATAGAAAAATGTTAGTCTAATCGATACCTTTTTATGAATAACCACATCAATCATTGTCTGGACATTCTTCAACGTCAATAGCTCCATTATCATACACGTCGTCCATTAAATTAGTATGTTTGGGTGTGTTCATGTGCCAACATTCAATATCCATTACCAGCGTCTTTGAGAAAAAAGTTCGTTAAAGTTTTTCTTTTTTATTTAATACTGGCACGTTATTGATTCCAAATTCAAAATCTAAAGTACCAGAAGTTTGACAGTGATGACGTTATTATGTAACATTTTTTTTTCTTTTTCTGCAGCTGTATAAAATGTTTTGTTCGTTTGAAATGAGAAGCTTAAAGTATACTCGTCGTGTACACTCGTACAGCGCCCCCTCGTGCCCGGGGGCGATGCAAGGCAAACAAACATCTCCCCCGGATAGACTGTTTGAACAAGCTGCGCATGATTTGATTCTGAATTCCATCTTATGAATATTATTATACTGGCTGGACAACTTTAGCTGGCTTGACTGTTTGTGTTTAAACGTCAAACTACCTTGTAGACTACATCATAGACAAAGTTATTTTCCAAAAAAAAAACTTCTTCAAGCTCGATTATAAATATTTGATATGACACGTTCGCCATAACTTTCTCCGTTATTGATAAAACAAAATACCGTCTAATCATACTGACTCACAGTTTAAAAAAACCCTATGGAAAAACAAAACGTGCTGTTTATTTTAACTGCAACTCACTATCGACACCTTTAAACATGGAACTATAGCGTTCATTTGTTTTTTTATAAGGCTAAAGACAGCCAGTCACTACATACACACGTTCATGATAAATTCAACAGGCTTCTGTCAGTTGCCCCGTTATGTGCTAGCAATATCGATACATCTCACATCTAGCGCATGCGCATTACAGCTCGTTCATAAAGACCGGACGAGAACACTGCAGTATATGGGTTGACAGATGATGGGTTAGCCAACCCGTCTGAATGTCAGGACCAAGTCCAAGAACCTTCTAATCCCACG